GGTTGCCCTTGTAAAGCCAATAAATAAATAAAAATTAATATCAATTCTTCAAATTTCAGTTTCCTGACCCAGTGTAGGCCCTTATCAGTAAGCATGGGTAATGCTATCAAGTTTGTCAAGTACAATATTACAAGAATATCTCCAGATATGCCTGAAGACGAGGTACAACCAGCTATCAATGAACTCTACATTGTAGATGTCCTTGTTTTATTGACAGAGAGCTGTATAACACAGGAAGCCYATTGTKTAGAAAGTACTGAGATGCMTGTGGCRAAAGAKCTATATTATGTCTGCCATACATGTRCAACAYTATTAAAGGAGTAATATTTTCTAATTTTGTTATCAATTTCTAGGCCAAAAAAGAGTTAATYAGGAGAATTGATACGTTTCGTAGAGAAAGAATCATTCTTGCTGGTGAAGCGATCTCTAAAACGTTTGCWAAATGCAAAATACATGATGGTGATGTAATTCTKACTTATGCATGGTAAGGCTCATCGCAAGTAAAAATTAATAAATAAATGAAAGGGATTGAGGGATAAATGAATAGAAGAGTTCATGAACAAATGCACAATGAAATATGCCATTTGGTTTTTGTGTTTTATGTTTTTCAATTCAAAGTTCATCGTTAGTACTCAAAGTTCTTAAAGATGCTCATGATGCTGGCAAGAAATTTACAGTAATAGTAGTTGACTCAAGACCAAAACTTGAAGGTAACAGTTGGGCTGCCTGTGATATCGCATGACCAATCGATGATGATAATTATATTAATTTCCCATATCTTATGAATAGAGTACAAATACTAAAACTGTGCAACATAAATACCACTAAATACTGCTAAGCTATGCTCCAATTCTATTGTTTTCTATTGTTTAATTAACACTATTCAGTAATAAATAGTGCAAAGTGTTGCACACATTTAGTATTTGAACTCTAGTAACACCCTATCTACTTAATACATAGTTAATAAATAATAGGCTTTATTAACCTATTCTATTTCTTGTGCTTACACTTGTGTCGTACCTATAGGTCGTGAGTGTCTGCGGAGACTTGTCAATCATGGTATTAGATGCTCGTATGTACAAATCACYGCAATGTCGTACGTCATCAAAGAAGTATGTAKCTATAAACATTATTCAGTCTGCCGTGGGGCATGGTACTGACATTCCTTTTAAGGCTGCAGTATATGTAGTATCTTATCTTTGTATTTTACATATTAGGTGTCTAAAGTATTTCTCGGCGCGCATGCGCTGTTGGCCAATGGTTACGTCAAGTCACGTGTTGGGACATCAATGATAGCGCTTATGGCTAATGCGTACAACGTGCCAGTTTTGGTTTGCTGTGAGACGTATAAATTTAGTGAACGCGTACAAACAGACTCGTTTGTTTCCAATGAATTAGGTAAGACCTACAGACTTGTACCCAGTCTCTTCACGTCGAGCAAGCGTCGCGCTGAAACAAATAGTTTGAATTTAGCACATGAATAGTTCGACGTATGAATCAATTGAGTTCGGAACGACTGTAGCACGGCAGCGTCAGTCGTGCTGACGGGAAAAGCTCGACGCTGATTCAAACGTCGAGATTTCGTAGCTCTTAACTTAATGCACAGAAAGACTACGTGTTTTTTTTCGAGAATAATGATGGATGTAAATTGCGTGTTATCGGATTTCTTATGCTTTTGACAGCATTTGGTTCGACGTATGAATCAACGCCGTACCAAATGTATTAGGGTCGACACAAATTGACTATTCGGCGTGACTCTGGCTCGACGTATGAACCGGGCCTAGCCATGAATATGATTAAAATCTAAACCATTRTATTTTATTTCAGGTGATCCCGATGATCTTGTTGCCTTACCAAAGCACCACCAGAGGAACCCTCTCGAAGGATGGCGGGATATCCCCCCTCTTCACCTCCTTAATTTAGTATATGACGTCACTCCACCTAACTTTATCTCTATGGTAATCACCGAAGTAGGAATGATCCCCTGTACCTCTGTTCCCGTAGTATTGCGAGTACAAAATCCGGAGATGTAACAACTGCTATCGTATATATCACCAGTTTACCTAGAAAATGCTGAGCATATGTATGCCTTACCTGCCTTATCTATTTATTAACCGGTAATTATTGCAAAAGGAAATTATTTTCAGAACGCTCATTACAATCCGATCTCCACTATATTAAACTGATATTTTTTCGGGATCTCAAATGGCGAAAACACAATATAGATTCATTGTTATTCAGGTGACTTAGTGTTTCTTACTGGGTAGCATGATAAGGCTCAACGACGCTCATGGAAGTTGTGAGTTGTAATACGAGAAAAATCATGTCAGAAAATCACCAGAATTAGAGGGAGATCCCCGGGGAGATGGGATTTAAAATTAATACTAGAGAAAAGGCGTAGAGATTTAATTTTAATGGTAAATGAGAAGAGTGACAACCTTAAGCAAACCATTACTAGTAGTGTAGACGATATGGGAAGGGAAGAGTGTTCCCTAGGTTCCTAAATAGTCGCCCTGTTCCGTATGGGTGCCACATGATAGAATCATCAGATTCATTGCTATCATCATCATCATCATCATCATCATGTCTTCTAACTGATAAGTAATCACAATACGATTGCAATCCACACTAATGATAATCTAAATAGGACTGAAGGGTTTTTTCTTATGAAAGATTCTTTATTTCTGTATTTACATGGAATGTATTTAGTTCAATATGGAGTAATTTATTAGTTTTGTAATACATGATTATGATATGCTGTTCTTTTCTTGTGTTGGTTTCAAATAGACTAGATTGTACAGAACTATGTCATTGTTCTATGTTTTAATACATGACGTCAATAGACCAGTCTTAGGTCATGACGTAAGAATATAACTTGGCCTAGAGATCTTTCTAGACACTTTATATCAGCATTAAATTACGGTATGCGCTATTTGAAATGATGTCATACTTATTAGCTCTATTTTTAGTTCATGTTATATGGCGTCATAATATGATTTTCGTCATCTTTTTAATTTTCTAATTTTAACGTATGACTTGTTTAGTTAGGTCTTGACGTAATAGATATGTGATTTTCAGTGATGACGTCATTGACATCTATTTTAAGATCATGACATCATTGGCATAGTTGGGATTCTCTCTCCAACAAGACATTCAAAAGTGCTTTGATGAATATCGCGTAAAAACTTTGACGGGAATTCTCGATGACACCAGTCGCACGGAATAGATCTGTCTTGGCCATGTATCGAACGGTGAAAATGAAGTTGCTTTACATCGGAAAATGTAAGGCCACAAAATTCACATGACCATGTTTTGGCGCGTAAATGTGTCCGTCTCACGTGACTATCATGTGCTGCATGTGACGCAAATGCGCGCCCGCAATGCTTACACTTGAATGGCTTCTCKCCGCTGTGTTGCCTAATATGCGTGCGCAGGATTGATGAAGCGGTGAAACATTTGTCACAGTGTGGACATTTGTACGGTCTTTCTCCACTGTGAACTCTCATATGTTTGTTAAGACTTGATGACTGTGAGAAGCGTTTGTTACACACGGTACATTGATGAGGACGATGCTTCTCGTGGACATGTAACACATGGATGCGAAGCCTGTCACGCTTGTCGAATGACCTGTCACACAACGAGCATGGAAAACGACGGTCACCTTTGTCGAGGCATCGAGTGTACTTGAGATGTTTCTCTCGGTAGTACTCGTACGCGAACAGCTTACCACACCGCTCGCAGGGATAGCTGGGACTATCTGGAAATACGTAAAAAGGCAAGTCATTAGAACTAATTATTTGTTTAAGTTTAAAGTCGTTTACGCTCTTACCCGTTACTTCTGTCTTTCTGTCCTGCATGGGTTCTTTTACACGAAGCCCCAGGGGTACCCCCAGAGTTAATTCATAGCCGTCCCCATACCACACTAGAAGTTCTTCGCCCTCATTAATGTCACGTGATGTCTCATAGTATAACTTGTTTCCTCTCTGTACCAGGCATGTGTTTTGCTCATCCACGTGATGTGCACAGCGGACAAACTTCATCCAGTTATCAGGTGACTGTCTACCGTCGATGTAGTAGTTAACTTTACCGTCATCTTGAAATACCTGAAATTAGCCAAATTCTCCTTCAATGTGGGTTCATTTGAGGTATGAGCATGCGCAAATGCCGAACTTATCGAAGACCGTTGTGCGCATGCCTTTTCGAAGTTCCACAGATTTGGAATTTTTATTTGTTATTACTCTTCGATAACAACAACAGSCAAAAAGATCAACGTTACTTAATGTATTTGACAAATAACATGCAGACTTGCCACTAACTAACCTCCCAAGCACTAACGTTTTCTTCGGTGCCACTTAGCTCATTGTCGCGTAAGATATTCCCGTTGTATGGTCCAAAACGAGTACCAGATTTGATGGGCTTTTCGCTGCAGAATACGCCATAACGATAGCACCATCCGTGGGAGACGCAAGCTATACGTAMGCCGTTTGGTAACTGTTTACGTGGGAGTTGCGGACGGAATGCACTTGGATGATGGTCGATTCCTTGCTGTAGTTTATCTTAACGAAGTGAATGAATGAAATAATGAGAAATGAATGAAAATCTTAATTTAAGATATACTGAAAAGTGAAAAAAGGCAACAAAGAAAGGAATAAAAGCGCATGGTCGAATGGCACTCAATTCGGGTAACTTTATATATGCATCGTATAATCCGTTTCTGTCCGTGTGTTTTGAGATCGAATCTTACCTATAAAATATCGCTATTCATCAGAGCATAACGGGATAAAAAAGAAGTTTGTTGATTATATTACGTTGTATTTTTTGCCTTTTCAAAAATAAACAAATCTCCGAGGGATACCAGTTGACCATGTTTCCCGATTTACCAARAGAACCAGGTAAATGACTGGAGAGAATGAAACGCAATGTCTTACGTAAAATGATACGTAATTCAAACGTAAACGAGACGTAAATATCAATCAGTGAAGAAATTGTTAATTATCTGGCGAAATCAGTCTTCATTTCATACGAGAGATACATCAAATCAAATTGATAAATAACTAGACATTTTAACTTAAGTAAGTGATGTACAATATCAAAATACTGARAATATAAAGGGCGTTGGCGAGGATCCGTTAAAACAAAACAAACCTGTCAACATGGGTTGATAAATTAGCCGGAATCAAGCTAGATAACTCCAATATCACCATGATACTCAATACATGTATCAGTAGCTTATTTGATTCGAGAAATGAAAACCTTTTATTGAAAGATCACTTAATGCTTCAAGTTGATCAAGAACTATCATGATTTTGAGCACCACATTGATATATGTTGTTTTCCGTGACCACTCTCTTTATTTAATGGATGTTATTTTGCTTTTCGTTATTAGTTTAGTGTATTTGACGAGAAATTCGACTAGCTAGAGATTCACCATTAATACGAGAGGGAYCAGAGAGTAAAATAAACAACCAAAGGGATATCTATTCAGTATTTTGGAAGCGACAGAAACTAGTCAATCAATTTTACTTCTTTTTTGTTTTTTTGTGTCGTAATTTTTCTTATTTGTACGGGTAACATAAAAACACCTTATTTGTCTAGTTCAAAGTGCTTAGTAAAACAACTTTAGCCTTTAATGACTTGATGTTGAGATCTTCTAAAACTAAAACCCTAGTCGACTAGAAGTTTAATACGTGAATTAAAAAAATGAACTGAAAATGGTTACAACAATGGTGGATGCCTTTCGTTGCAAAATCTGTAATTTCTTGCTTTCATTTAGTACTTTCGAGACCCCGTTTTTACACTGATTTTTACATCGATTTCATTCAGGAACGAATGACGGGTAAGTGCGTCTTCATCTAAAACATGCGTTTCCTAAGAATTTGCTTGGAGTTTAGATGCAGTTTGTTTAACCTTGTTAAAGATACTAGCACTTGTTAAAGATTCGATAGAAGAGATAAATGGTGACCGACTTGATCAAAATCGTAGATCTGGTCGTTAACACTGATTGAATCAATGTTCATGAAAGCCACTCGACTTTTATCAGTTCTTCCAGTTTTATGTTACGAATATTCGTCATATTTCTCGATATTTGTTTCGCATGTTGTGAAAATCAAAAGGTACCACCTACCTGGATAATACAACGAGGGTAGATAGGATTCTACCATTGTCGGAGTTTCAAGATACTTCTCACAGCTATCGTACGGGAAGACAGTATAGAACTGGTTACCATACAATACCATATTAAGTACTTCATCTGTTATTTGCTGTTGTTTCTCCATCTTTCCTTCTCTAGCGTCTTAGACAAAGTGCATATGAAGTGTTATGTACTGCAGTAAGCGTATTTCTTGTGTTTTATGTTTCAATTTATAATTGTAGGAACTTTAATDCGCGCCAGTAAACAACGACTTTCAAAAAGTGCAGAAAATAATTGAACTGGAAAAAACACCGAACAACAACCAAAAATTAACATAGTTTTAAGCTTTTGTTCAGCACTTTGCAACTCGGCCTCGCAAAGTCAGTTGTTCCGGCGTTAGTTTTTTTGCCTTTCTTTAGCTTCCTTTTTTTTTTGGCAAATGGCCATCTCTGGCTTTAACTTTACAACATGAGATAAAGAGTTAAAGATGATTTCTGCCATATTCTGTGATATCAAATCTAACAGCAAGATTTAACATTATTTGATAACAGAAAAAATCAAAGTATATTTTGTCAACTACTGACACACCTAAAATGCCTAAAAAAAACTTTTACAAATCAAAAAAGGAGCAAGGACCATTGAAATCACTGTCGGTTATTCTAGATAAAACGTGTGATAAGCATCTAATGTTGTATGTCTTATCATAGATAACATATACTTACATCTCGGTACGATCACGAATTGTTTATGATATGTGGTTACTCTCTTAGATAACCCTGCTACACTTCGCTAATAAATTACTTCACAGAATAGATTTAAGTACGTACAGCAAGTATTGTGTAGTACTCCTTAAAGCCCTGGCAAAATACCTATTGTTAAATCAATTTTCAATTGTAGATCCTACTTGGGAAAGGCTTAGCGTATTGGAGGCAGAACTGGGATCTTCCCCGCAAGCGGAAACCCAAACAATGTTATATGTCGATGGATAATAAACCTTAGAAACGGAAACAAAATTAGATTTGAAAACATTAGTTACATATAGGTTAGGTTCATTAACTTGAATACATCTATTTCGATTCGTACAATTGTCAAAATATATTTCATACGAAAACTTCTTTTCTGATCGGTTTATACCAATAAAATACGATTTATGCATTTTTTCCCTAGGGATTGCAAAACCCTTGATTGTATATTATTTTAGAAATAAAACTTGCAAAGTTCAAAAACGATTTGTAAGTTTGTTGAACGAATGTTCGACCGTTTTGTCATTAAACGTACCACGACTTTTCCCTGATTATTACAGGCAACAAAATGCGCGCTTTTAACAACTCATTTCTTGAATAGCGAAAGTGATTTCATTCTCAGAACGACATGTCTACATCACTACACATCAGTGTTGTTTGCAATTTACACCTAAAGTATGATACAGCACCGAAATTCATCACAAGAAGCGAGAAAATGAAGTGCGGTCTTCAGAGGGGTAATCATGTCCATTTGGTGTTCATTTTAACTCGTCGGCTTGTGGAGTTGTTTATAATTTCTTTATTCATCTTTCCTCTCAATCGAGACAATTTTCCCTTCCTGTGAAGTCAGTGTTAACCGTATTAAGTTCATTACTCAATTAATCAGGATTTTAATCGCTAGCAAACCGGTTATGGAAAAAAATAAACAACAAATTAATGTAACGCAAATACCTGTTTTCAAGAAATAATGATTTTTAAGGGTATTAGCTTTGTAGGGAGTGTTTTTGTTTGGTTCCTATCAACAAAAGCCGTTTTCAACTCACCGAATACAAATACTCTAAGCGCACAAATCAAACCAGGAACATTCTAAATAATGTTTTAATAAATACATTGTATAAGTGTATTTTAACAAAATTGGACATTTCAAGATTCCTTTTTCACTGGATATGTTAGTGATTGCGTCTTGTCGCGTCAATCATGATTTTCTAATCTATCAATTTGTATAGTTTATCGTTTTCAAGAAATCAAACTGTTCTGTTAACAAGCAATTTATTCTGTAGTTTTTAGTGGGGTAATCATGAAACTAACCGACATATACCGGCCGAGCCTAAGGGTTAGCTGTTAATCCCATCAGTACATCAAAAGACAAGGGCAGCCTGCGACAAATCTACACATCCTAATAACAAACAACCCGACTATTACATACATAATGGGTCCATATTATATCATTCCATTTTCCTCGTGTTTTCATGGTTTTGTTGCTGTTCTGGTTGCGGTAAATATGATGCCGAAATGCTAACGATCCATCTACACCTAACATGTAAGGGTTCGCCGCTCTCGTGGGAAAAAGACTTCTTATTTTTATGCATCGCTAGATAACACACACTCATTAAAGCAGAAGTTGTTATTTCAGCAAATCCACTGTCGATTTTTAAAGTTGTTTTTGTTTATTAGAAAGTGAACTTGAACTGTCAGCTTCATTAACATCCAGCTTATGGTTGTTCAATGTTTATCTCTTTTAACGATTTTATCGAAATAGTCACCGAACTTTTGAACTCCTGGCACCTAGAAATCCATACAAGTAACTTCTGATATCCTTAGTAAGCTTGACTATGGTTAAGTAACAGTACTAAAAAGAATCTTTTTTGGAGGGTAGCTCTCAGACCAAGTAATGAACCTCTTACCCTCAATATATCCACACACTGATTCTTGTTGCTATTCAAACTTGATATTTTATCATAATTTTCGCTATTGGCAAATAAAAAATCTTTTTGTCATGATAAATATATCTCTAAATAGGGAATTCTCAGTCCTCGCATTAGACAAGGAATGGCTCCTTTCAAAGATTTTTGTCCGCTTTGCAGTGGCCTTCTGTAAGTGCCCTAATAGCCTGTTATCCAGCATTCAATGTCTTCGATAGTATCTCTTGTATTTAATTGAATTAAAGTTATATTCATAAACTTGTGTTACATTGTGAAAATGCTGATTGTAACAATTGAAAGACCATTTGATCAGAAAGAGGGGTATCGCACATCAAGATTATGGGTCACAAATATTTTATCATCGATAAACAGGGATTTACGATTTTATGAAGTAAATTCAGTGAAATTTTTCGTAGTCATTGTATAGAACGTTTGTCAGGTGCTTTGGAAAACAAGTTCAGCATTAATCAACACCTATAATCCAACTAGATTTCAATGGACGTGTGGTGGTTTCTGTTCTRAAAACAATACATTACTGCTCATTTACCCAAAAAGGTTAGTTAAACCAGAAGAACACCTTTCTCAACAATAAGTCATCAATTGTTGTGTATTTTAGCCTTGCGTAGTATTTTTCATTGAAGTTTGTTACTTATCAAAAAGAATTGAAGGTGTCATGAGTTATTTCAGAAATACTAACTGGCCATGTCCTTTATATGTACGTACGAACAAATTTGTGAAATTAAACATTAAAGTGAAAGTTTGATATGCAAAAAACTATGAAACATAAGTTATGATTATTACACATATATGTGTATATCGGGTCTATTTGTGACTGGCAAGGTCATATTAAGGCGATACTAGTTTAGAGAGTTATAGAATGCCGCTGAATATACAGGCGTTGGCAGTAGCACCCAGTCACCATATATCCTGGTATATTCTTGCATCTAACGAACGAATGCTGGACGATAGAATCGTATCATTCTAAAGTTGAATCAGCTCATAAATGGCGTAGTGTTGAGATATCATTAAAGAGACAATCGACTTTACATAGAACTCTGCATGTTGCTATTGATGGAAATATACATGCTGTTAGGAAATGGTATCATCTCATCACTAGACAATAACCCTCATRTATCAACTGTGTACATTTGTATGACTGTATCGACAGAACCCGGATTGTCTAACTATTGATACACCCCTGCACAAAACCTAAAGACAAAGATATCAATGAGTATACCCTAGTAACCATGTTGAAGAAACATTTTAATGTGTTGTTTTGAACCAAAGTAAATGTCTCAAGGTGTGCGTAAAACCATGGATATGAACTATTAGTGATACAAATATCAAAAATCTGCTCAAACAAAATATGGCGCTTATCGTTGTAATTTCTGCCTCACAAATGACGCTCACACTCTTTTTCTCCACTTATCATTAATAGAACGATGAACACGCCGCTTTAGCCGGCTGCAAGCCCATTACTTTGCCGACTACTTCAGGTGAAAAAGATCCTTTAAAGGTGTTCTGCTAGCGAACAAAAGGGCGAATGAGGGTTCAAGAAGTTGTGCTGAACAAATGGACCAGGTTGAATTGACAATTGGTTGATACTCTCCAAAGAGTGAATGAGTTTGTTGTAGTTTGTATGAATACATCGTTTATCATTGTCAACCATTTACCAGCCGGCACACAAAGACAACAAACTCGTCTTTAGCCTGAGAAAATTTTGTCGCTTAAAACTTACTCCTTGCTTAGAAACAAAACGTTCAAGATGAACCTCTTAGTCGGCTTATAAATGACTTGTGTGAGGAATTCTAAGAATTGCAAGCAATTTTGTGGTGTTTTTGCGTGTATTTTTCATGATATCTCGTCTGTAGTTAATTGTCTTTGTTGTCCACGCTATGTGTTCTTTGTCGAGAAAATCTTGGCAAATTTTTATCGGCTTTTTGAATATAAACGAACACTGCCATAAATGGGCTTAAATGATGGGCGTGGTCATCGTTTAAGTCGATTTACCCCAGTCTATAGCGACATGTAAAAAGGAAAGCGTGCACTCCCAGCGCCTCCAAATCGATTCAGCTTGACTTGTAAAGAGTATTGAAACAAAGACAATAACTTTAATTGTAAATCGAATCATTATAAAGCCAAACACATTGAAAGTGTATATAGCAATGTGACGATATACGAACGGATGTAATGGTACTTTGCTCATTACCAAAATGTCTGATACTTTAAATACTCGACTGCATTTATCCTAGAATACGTGCTTGCTTGATCGAATCAAGTCCAGCCTCGGGGCACTCTCTTAACATAACATTTACTCCATTGATCACTTGTTTCCTGACTCCAGCCAAAACAACTAGAGGAAGTTCACTTTGTTTGAAAAGCTATGTTGGAAGCAACTGGCCACTCATGAGGAAGTTGATGTAATCTTCAAATTAAGAAGTTTAGCGGTTCATTTTACAGCTGTAAAGGTTGAGTTTTGCGGCTAGTTTTTCGTTCAAAGGGTGACACCATAAACGATATCTAGTTTAATATACGTTAATTAATTTAAGACACTGATGATCGTGCACAGTCAGGTTTGGTATCATTGCTGAATGAATTTCTCTAACACTGTGTTTACTTTGGAATAACTGCTAATTCGATGTAAATAGTTTTGTTGATTGGTTTAAACTATTAGTGTGCCGACATATCTGATTTTTGAGACAAAAAATCACAAAAATTCCACTTTTTCATGGTTTTGACACTCGGATTTAAAATTATAAGAAATTAAAGCAAAAAATAAGACAAATCGAGATGTTCTGCAGTTTTTGTTCTCATTTACTTTGTTAAAAGTCTTAATACATCAAGGTTTTCACAGTATCTTACCCTAAAGTCATTTTAGTGAATACTCTGAGAGCGATGTTTAAGTCAGACAGGACTCAAGTCGTTATCTAAAGTAATCCGCGATTTAAACCTACAACGATCACATAGYGCTACGAGGGCATCATGATTAGCTTCTCTAAGCCGCCATGTTAGCACGATATTGAGATTAAAAAAATTATCCTTTTGAAAGGATTTATGGAAAATCATGGAAATTCACTAATGTTTTCAGCCCGCAGATGCACCGATCACATCTGAATAGATCAATTGAATTGATAGATTGATCCACTGATAACGTAAAGAATGGATGAACAAATGGATGGATGAACAATTGAATGGATGAAATGAATGTTATAAATTGATGAATAAGTGCTTAGAAATTCAAATAAACTATTAAATCGAATTACAAATTTATTAAATAAATGAGTAAATAAAGATATCACAGCCATTATATACTAATATATTACCATCTGAACATCTATGCTATCGCTATACCTGATGAATTGAGATAATGATGTTCCGTAATATAAACCGATGAAATTCTTTTTACGATGTTCTGGATTTTGTCATTAATCATTTACTATATACAAAATGACAATCTATCAAATCATATCTAAGTCTTTGAACAGAACATAGCTTTCACAAATGACAGAGTATTTCCCGTTGTCAAAGACATCACTAGAGAATGCTTTCCTGTGCGTTGCTTCGCGTTCTTCAAGCCCTTCATGATTACAAACGAGTACTTGTTAGACCAAGGGGAGTCCATTGACGTGTTTAAGTTCGAATAGGAACAGTTCCAAGTATTAGGAGTTATAAATCATAGCATATTGGTTTAGGATTCATGCCTTAATGTCGACTATGATACTAACGCCCTTACAATGAACGTGTCGAGAGCGTTTTTTTTCTGCGTGCATTATATAAACATATTCGAGAAAAGGTCAATGCGTCGTTTTCCATTAGTGATTCAGAAAGGAACCTGGACAATGGAAATGATAAAAAATCAATAACACRACTATCTTATTCAAACTTCTGTACGTAAAATTGCTTTGAACTCTTTTTATAATCCTTTACGACAAAACTGAACATCAAAATCCGTAGAAACATCCGCAKTATTTTTTCGCGCGTCTTCATGTTCATCGCAGAGAGCTAATTGCTCTTTTAATTAGTTCAGCTATATCAAGGCTATCAGCAACACTGACATCACATAATGAAGAGCTCTCAGTGTGATAAATTTTAAGGCTTGAGCGACTTTCTTGCGCGTTTCTGAGCTTTTAGAACAAAATAACATGACAAGATCTGACAAAATGTCTGAGCTATGATTTTCCATATGGAAAACCTAAAATTTGATGTGTTATGTCGTTTAGCTTAATATATCAGTTTTATTTGCAGTTAATGTTAACCAATTCAATTGACTGTTCATTCAATAAAGTACTTTAGAATTTATTTTTGGCAAAGCTGCTAATCTCAATGTTTACACACAGTATTGTACAACACTTACCTAATAGTCGTGCAGTGAAATTACCAAAAAAGCCTTAAACTGTCAGTTCTGCCTAAATCTCCTTCACTGCTTACTTAATGCTTTTCATTTCAAGCAAGACAGTTTCTCGCATCTCTAGCGCTATTGTAAATGGGTTTAGTTCGTTTTTCCTAAACTTAGCGATGACAATAATTAGCGCGAGCTTCATAAGAATACAAAGGCAAGGAAGTGTAAAGATCAAGGTTATACTTTGCATGTCGTTGGGATTTTGTAAAGCACATAAAGAGCGGCAGTTTTATCAGGAAGCTGGTTAAGAAGCGTCTCCAGCAAAGTACGTTTTACCATCACTAAAGTAATGGGCTGCCGTTTTTACTCGCTTCTTGATTTAAAACAATGAAGGACAAATAGCGCGGGACTATCGCAGGGACACTTAAATCAAATAAAAAAAGAGAGTTAAACTCGTTTATTCTAGTGTTAAACATTAAAATTAATATGAAATGCCATGAAAAAACCCGTTTTCTCATTGGTTAAATTGGTTTATTCTGTTTGGATAACATTTCTTCAAATATTAAATAATGCGCGCGCGTCCTTGCCGTCCCTTTTGACAAAAAGAAGGAAACTCGTTTGTGAATTATTACTCTTCTTTCTTGATTTTATAACAATTATATATAATTKTTCATAAAAATCAACTACTTTTTCTTACAATTTTGAGAACTCGTCACCCATTCAATATTGTCATGCTATAAGCRATGATTTCATTGCAAACCTGTGTCAAAAAATAAACATTATACTAGCAATAGAATAGAGGTTTTTTGATCTCAATTTGATACAATGACAATGAATGGATAACAAAATAGCAATGATTTCGATCAAAAAAATCATAAACATACAGAGTCCGAGGCTCCTCGTAGGATCACTCTCGCTGTTTCCACACACGATTCCGAAATAACGACTCATTAAGCAGTTTCTTCAAAAGCTCGCGACGTTTTGGTAACCTAAATCGATAACGCGCGCAATCATCTTTACGAAAGGAACGTGTGATGGTTCTTAACTTTAAATGGTACACAGTACCGTTATTCGATCAATAAAAGACAACATAAGTTTACACAGAAAATAAGTACCAGCTTATTGACACAATTCATGAATTACCTTTCAGTAATAAGGTAAGATTACAAAATGAACTTCCACTGAGTTAACTAATTTACTTGTTTTAGCTGATTATACTCATCAAATCAAAAGCTCTCATCATGTACTCTATTCGTTCCCGGTAAATGAATCCAAACAAGCCTTAAGGTAATCTTATTGGGATAATGAATATCTGTGTTGCTAGTCTTTGGTCTCTTGCACTTCCGCAGCCTTGTGTTTCCTGTCCTTTCTCTTCACAACTCTAAAGAGTTCAATAAGCGATAAATTRAAACGTTTGGTTAATTAAACGTTATAAATAAATATAGTTAACTTGCGCGCGGTGTTGAATAAACAGCTGACTTGAAAATCAATGCATAAATGGAAGAAATTGGTTACAAACACAACAAATGGATGGATGGATAGATACTGGGATAAGTAAATAAATGATTGAATAAAAAAATGGAAGATTGAGTGTCGAGGAAAATCTGCGTACCCAGTCGTTTCTCTTGCTCGTTTTACGGGTCGCGTTGCATCAAGGGAAGTCTGAACTACCGGGGAGAAACACGTTACTTTTTCTTTCGATTTCCCTTGATCCTTTGCGCGCGTCAGAGAAAAAATAAGAGTAACGACTGGGTACGAGTCTGGAAAATCACTTAAAAACAATCATTTCCTTCGTTATTCAAGATGGCGGATACTAACATTACACAGGAACCCCAATATGTCGATGGTTGTATCAAGCAATATGAATGATAAAAAAGACTTACTCTAGTAGAATAAAAGCTATACACATGAACGATGCCATTACAACAAACACCATTCCTTTCATGTCGATGTGAAGGAAGAGGGGGTAGATAGAGTTGAACACAAGTGCTCCTAACAACGTACAAACTGTCTCTAGCGTAGCGATCGCTGCAAAAAGAACACCTGCGGGAGAATAAGAGTGTCTTTAGATTTATTTTCAGGGAAAGTATCTTTTGCAAATTATAATAAGTGATCACCAATCAACTTTTGTCCGGCATCTGCAAAACTCAGCGGGGTGTGCACCACCCCCTGGGACCTTCAACACCCCTCTGAAGAAAATCCTAGGTCGGTCCCTAACACCAAAGTCATCTGGGTGATTTGAGAAAACGCGACTAGCCAATCAGCGCAAAGCTGACAAGCTTATGCTGTAAACATAGCCCCCCTACGGGAGGAATTTGCACAGCAAAACTCGACCCAGTGGAGTAGGCTGCCAGGCCATTTTATTCTATCCGAAAAATCGAAGCTTAAACGAAAAGAGAAATTGAAAATCTTTATAGAATAGCTTTCAAATGTCAATCAAATATTTATCGCTATAGAAATAGAATTTTATCTTAAATTAATTATATGTCTTAATTTCTTTAATACCACGAGACTCCCCTCCCTGATAAAAATAATCGGTCTGTGTTCTACGCGGGTTCTCCATTGCATGCACAGCATGAAAAAAGCGTGAAAAAAGTTCGACTAAATTCCCTTCTGAAAAACACGTGTGTATTTAAGATGGAAAATGTTTCATTCTTAAAGGTTTAATGCTATAATCATTTTGTTTAGTTATGTAAATAAATTTAACTCGACTTGTACTGTTTATCTGAGTGAAAGGCGAGCTGCGGTTTTTCCCTTTGCTTTATTTACACTTTCAAATATGACTGCTTAACAAAAATGCACGGGCTCACTGGCTTACAACCTTGGCGAATTCATATGCAGGCCTGGTCGCAAATCAATCACCCAGATACAAATTTGACTGAGGGACCAGCTAACTTGGAGGAAATCCGTCAGTCAAGCAAGAACGAACCAGGAGGATGAAATTCATTAGATTTAGGGTTTTGTCAATGACTCCCTCCCCAAACACGTGAAGCAATACCAAATATAGTGATTTTTAAAAGTGTTGCTATCTTGAAAGCCAACGATTGGTTCATTATTCAATACCTTGTTCATCTGGATCTACCATCTTGGACATCATGGCTCGTAGTGTTGGGGTCGGGATTCCACCAAGACATGCAACAAACGGAACTACAATACAGTGAATAGACAATAAAGATAAGGAATCTAGGAGTTTTTGGATATGAACCAATATGTCACTCACTCACACCACTCACTTTCCTCTAAACTTGTCTCCTAGTTTTCCGTTTTTATTATGATAGTGACATTGCAATCAAATGGTATTGATCATTCGTTTTSGGGAAACCAGGGGTTATAATACTAATATCGTTCCGTGTTGACGAGTGGCAGATTTTCATGGCAAGTTATCACTGAAAATATGCTTAAAATATCACATTGATGATATCAGTATACAGGATTTATTAGCTGATGACGATAAACAGTGATGGTATCATGATGATATATATG